AGATGCAAAAGTTATTTGGGTTACAAAAGTAATGAACTGGCTGTTGGACTTGAAGGAGAGGAATGTTTCAGATAACTCAAGTGTCTTCCATGAACTAGATGGCAAGCTTTTCACTGAGAAAACTTAATTATAAAATGTTAATATAAATATAAATATAAAATCTTAAGCTAAAATGTGGCTTTTTCACAAAATGCTGTCTTCTGTGATTTGATGTTGTCCTTGGCCAAGAAAAATACTATAATGCTTAGTTGGCTTGGCTGTTTTGAATTCCATTACTTTTCCAAAGAGAGATCCACTGCAGGATGACCCCGACTCAGCACATACTAGAGGGTTCTGGAAAAAATAGAAACATGAACAATTTTTAGAAAAGTTGCACTTCAAGAAGCTGTCCACAAGTCTGTAGTCACAGAATCCAGGGAGAACTCTTTAATATCAGAACAAAATGAAGTTCTGTATTTCGCTGTTGAAAAGTTTTAATTTTGAATGACGTAATGGTAGTAGCAATGGTAGTGTGTATGGTGGCGATGGTGGTGGTGATGGTGATGGTGCTGTTGGTGATGGTGCTGGTGTTTGCAGTACGAGTGGTGATGATGACAATGGTGTTGGTATTGGTGATGGTGATGGCATTATGGGTGATGGTGATGAAATTGTGGATGATACTGATAATTAAAACTGATGTTGGCAACTTTGGTGTGTATGATGGCAGGCTTGAAGGCAATGATGGTGGTGATCAGAGCCGTCATGCCCTCATTACTATCAAGGACTGCGGTTGGGCTCTGAGAAGCAGACTAAATTTCCCATTGCTGAAGCCTGGGCTAGAAAGCAAGATTATAATAGAGTGGCAGGTTACTGACTCACTTACTCATCTTTGCCCCCTCCAGAAGTGAAATTGGATATAGATGTGCTAATCACTTTGCTTTTATTGTTGTGGGTGGAAGGAGGCAGGAGAATTTGGGGGTGGGGTGTTTCAGCGTGATAGTTTGTGAGTAGGCACTCTTCCTGGCAGGATTGTGCATGGCTTGAGCAATATCTTTAAAAATTTTAAAAGAGGATTTGAGACAGCTACTGTACTGTTTCTCCTCTTCTCACTGCTGTACTTTACCAGTGGGAAGGTTCCTTTTTCCTCTTCTGCCATGACCTTTATCTTTTTTAATCCACTGTTTTTGTTCTCATTGTCTCTGGATGACTTACACTTTATGGAAGCATGAGTTTGGATAGTCCTTCTGCGGGTCCTGTGTTCGCTGCTTTCTCTTCCCCTATAAAACCTAGCATTTGGTGCATTATAGATTATTCTGGCTTATTTCTTTATATTTTCTCTTCTCTTATTGGAATAAACATTCCACAAGGACAAACTGCTTTGTCTATGTTTTTATTTTAAACACTAGAATAGTACCTGACATAGTCAGGGCTTAACACATATTTTTTGAATGAAGTTTTTTAAATGTCCTTTTACCTGTTAAGTCAAATAGATGTACTAATACAAATCATATGGTTATCATGGACATTAAATGAAATAAAGTACATAGACTGTCTGGCCTACCCAGCTTGGCATAGTAAGGGCTGGTGAAGGGTTAGGATCCTCTTCATGCTCCCTGTCTTAGACAGCATTTTCTATGCTGCAACCAAAAGACCTGGCAAGAACAAGGTACAGGAGGGACAGTTTATTTAGGACTCATGGTTACGGAGGTCTCAGTATAATTGGCCAACTCCATTGTTCTGGGCCTGAGGTGAGACAGAACATCATAGGTGGAAGAAGGTAGTTCAGGACATGGAAACAAGGAAGCAGAGAGAGTGTTCCTCATGAGAGATAAGATATAAACCCCAAGGGCACGCCCCCTTTGACTCACCTCCTCCAATCACCCTACCTGCCTATAGTTACTGCCCAGTTAATTCATATCAGTGGGTGATCCACTGATTAGGTTTAGGCTCTCCTAGTTCAAGCATTTCACCTCTGAACTTTCTTGCACTGTCTCACACATGAAATTTTTGGGGACACCTTATATCTAAACTATAGCACTCCCCTTTCTTATAACTTCCTTCTCTGGTATTTAGAACACTGATTCCAGTTAACTTCTTGCCTCCTTAGAGATGCTTCTGTATTTTCTTCATAGCTTGTCTCTCTTGTTTTCTAAATGGCCTTGATTTCTTCTCTCCTTCAACTTATTAACCAGACTTTAATATTATTAATGAAATATACCATTAATTACAATTATGATCATTCTAATATGGAATTCTTATGGTTATGGAATTCATGTGTTACTTTCTATTGCTGTTAGCTATATTAAATGTATTATTCACCAATTATCCTTAACATCATGAAAGCCCCTGAGGTGGCTATCATTTTCTTCGAGGAAACTGAGACTTGGAGAGGTATATACACCAGGAGTACAGACCCAGTAAGCAATAGATTAGAACTTATTCTTGGGTTTATTTTTTTTTCTGTTTATCTATTCATCTAAAATGGTATCTGTACTGACAATGCACCATATGCCGGGCACAGAGCTAGGCTCTGTCTACACACTGAGGAAAAAATTGGTATAGGACCTGACCATGTGACCTCACCTGTGGTCACAATGATCACTGTCATCATCACTTGTGCTCTGCTGAACACACTGGCGGGTGCCCCCATGCTCATGTCTCATGTGAACCCTGACCAGCTGTTTTTACTTCTCTATTTCAGCCTTATCTCAACTCTGAATATCTAAATCTGAATTTATTACCTCTCTTTCTCTCTCCAAATTATATATTTTTCTAATATTACATTATTAAAAAAAATCACCTCTCATTTTTCTTGCCACATAGGCTCACAACTTTGGAATCATTTTGATCCTCCCATCTCTTCATTTCATATTTTGAATTCATTCCCAAAGCCTCTTGGTTGCTTTATCTTTGAAAAATGTCTGTTACTAGTCTCTACCTCTCAAATTCCTCTCTAGTGTTCTAACATCATGTCCCATGCTTGTATCCACTAGAATAGCCTCAAGGCTATGTGCTCATTAGTTTTATCCTTTAAGATTCCATTAGATTTTAAGATTCCTTAAGGCATAGACTCTGCTTCTTTTCATTGTTGTTATATTATTTCTCCAACAAAGAGAAAGGTTTATCTCTGTCCCTAGGACCAGGCATGTACCAATAGACATTCAGATGATTAGTAAATTAAAGTACTTCGATGTTTCAGACCATGGTTATCAAACTTGTTCTGGAGGTTTATGTAATGGTTAGTAGTTTTATGGGAGATTATGTGGTACTATACAAAGGCTGTTCTCTGCATCTCCATAACATACACTGAAATTTTTTTGCACAGTAGATTTCTTCCCACCTCCATTCATGTTTGCCATTTCTTTTGCCATCTCCTGTCACTCATCAACAGGGAGCTGAGTCCAAAGCCCCATAAAAATTTATGTTTGAAAGGTGTAAACTGGGAAATATTCCCCCTATTCAGAAACAGCTCTTCCATTTTTCGGGTGCTACCATAACTCTTATAAACATTGTTTGAGAACCACTGGCCAGTCATTGGTCTGCTGATTGTGTAGGTGTGGAAGGCATCAGGCTATTTTTTTTAACCATCTCCTTATTTTTCTCACTTGAAGCAAATTGCTTGAATCAGGTATGGTGGGTGCATGCCATGGTGGGGCTTACAGCTACTTGGGAGTCTAAGGAAGAAGGGTGCAGACCTGCCTGGGCAACATAGCAAGACCCCATCTCCCTGTCCAAAAAATAAGTAAATAAATAAAGAATACAGTTAGCAACACCAGTGGCCTGAAAGAATTCTCATTCTTAAGAACATTTGAGGTTGAGCTTATGGCATTTCTAAATACACATTTCTAAGTGACACTTAGAAATCATTAATCCTATTGACCATTCAGAGAAGAAATATTCTTTAAGATTCAAATTGGGGCAGAATAATAGCAAGAATTAATTACATCCCCAAATAAATCTTTTTTATAAATAACTTACTGACTAAATCTCTTATTCATTAAGATAGCTGGCCTTTTTTTTATAAGGATAATAACTATAATTTAATGTTTATTATATAATGTCTTGCATACTGCTGCAGAAAAAAAAAACTTGAATGCTGTGTAACAGATGCTGATGGGACTTAGAATTTGCCAAATCATGATTTGGACCTAAGCATCTGTCAGCACTATCAGCAGTAAGGCTTTTTTTTTTTCTTTTCTTTTCTTTTTTTAAACTAAAGAAAATTGACTCAAAGTGATATGGTTTCCTTTAAGTCCTTTTTCTTGTACTGGAAATTATGTAGTGACAAAATCCAGCTTTACCATGTAAGCTAACACTGTTAACATTTATTGTGTAGATTAGAAGGTAAGATTTCTAAAAATCTGACTTTAGTGAATAAATAGTATCTTTCTGTAGCAACTGTATCAGATAATATTCATTCACTCAAAAATTATTAAATTTCTACCATGTATTGAGGATTTAGCAGTGTAGAAAATGAACATAATTAATGCTTTCTTGTACATTTTAGTGCAGAAGTGCCAATAAACACATAATTTCAGATAATAAGACACACCAAGAATAAAATGTACGGGACAGTACTAGGGCGTGAGGAGGAGGGCTGCTTGTGATTAGGAAGGTCAGGAGGTGTTCTTTGGGAGGTGATATGTGAGCTGAGCTAATGCTTAGGTGATGAGGAGAGTCAATTGTGTTCAGACCTTGCAGGAGAGCAGCCTGGGCCCAGAGATGGCAAGTACAGACGTTTGAACAGCAGACAAGTACTATGTGTTCAAGAAACAGAAAGCTAGGGTGCCTGGAGTGTGTGGACAAGGATGAGACTGGTAGGAGATGGTGTTAGAAAGGCCCCACCAAACACGATAATGTGTCCCAGTTCATTTTAAGGAGTCTAGATTTTATTCTCTAGTCAGGGGACCTCACTAAGGGATTTTAACAGAGGCATTGTCAGATCTGCAGCTACCAGCTTCAACTGTGCATTGTTGAAAGGTTTCTTTTAAATGGACATAATTTTCCTTTGTATCTTACAGAATAGACCAGAGGGCTACCAATTGGCCAAAGGATGCTTTTGAAACTCAGCAGGACTTAAATGAGGTAAGTGCAATTGTTTCTGGTCATATGAACGTGAATTAAACAATCATGAAATTTACTGTTATTTTTTTGACAGTAGTAGAAATTCTTTCTGATTAAAACTATTTTTGCTCTTTAGTAAACTTGTCGTGCATATACTCCATTGTTCAGTTGGAATGCTTTTTCTTGCTATGGTGCAAACACATTCAAAATGTTATTTTAGGGATTGTTCACCATTTCTTGAACCTGACACCAGTCTAGTAGTCATTTTATTATACACTTTTCACATTTGCTTCAGGATTGTATAACCATGCCTGTGGTTTGCAAATTAACATTTGTATCATTTTTTCCTTAATTTTATTTATCTGCATCTCTGTTTTTACCATTGGCCTTTGCATTCTCAGATATAATTGTGCTTATTCTTTATTCACTAAGCCTCATGTAGACTGGTGTTTGCAATATGGTCTTCTAAGTAAGTATGCTTTGAGATAAAAGCCATGTTTCCTAATCCAGATAGTTTTCCACTGAACTGGAAATCACAACAGTAGCTTATTCTAGATTTTTTTTTGCAATATAGAATTGAATTCTAATGATGGAAATCAATATAATTATGATGATTACTTTTATGAATTCCTTGGCTTAAAACATTGGTTTGGAATACCCAGTCTGATTTTTTTTTGTCTTCATTAAATTAGAGCAGAAGATGGTGTGTGGTATGTCTAATGGATTATAGAAAAGAAAAGAAAAAGACTTAACACTCAGATGCCTAGATGAGAAACGATGGACTTCAGACAAATTGTTTATTTGACATTTTGAAGGCACACCCCTTCTGTGCCCCTCAACACTCCTATAAAAAGCATTAAACTAAATGTAGGTGTTTTCCAGTAAAACTTGGCAAAAATGAATAGTCAAAAATAAACTAGCTATTTGATTAAGCCAAGTAAAATAGCTAAAGTTGTGAAAAATGTCTTAAAGATAACAGAATAGTGTGAGTTATTTTTCTGTATTCATAAAGATAGCCCTTAAATTTCATACCCTTACTCATGGTAACAAAAAAGTGGAAAAAGTCTCAAAGAAAAGAGGCAAGAACTTGAAGCACGTATGCAGCTGTCTGCCCCACTGGGAACAACCACAATGCTAGCTATAAAGAAGCAGTGATTTCATTTTAACATAGGTGACTAGAAAAATTAGGTGATTGTAACAGTCGATTCACGATAACTTTCAAGTATTTGGAAGAAATTGATTTTTAAGCTGGAATCCAATGAGAATGCTAGGATTATTTGAGCATTCCTAAATCACAGTTGTGAAAAGCTTTACTTGAAAATCTGCTGTTCTGTATTCCTTCACTGTATCCAATTTGCAAATGATCTGAAATGTGTGTATTCCTGCGACATCATATGGGCTCAAGAGCACTGAATGGAAATGTGCATTCTTAGGCAGGCGTTGCTGTATTTTGAATGTGACTGTCTCCAGGCAAAGGTTGTGCTAAAGATCAGTTGAACATAGTGAGCATGTGCTCCATCCAGATGGTTTTTGTTCCAGTCGGGGTGTAAACTGTATGTACTAGCCCATATTCTTTTATGCAGCTTCTGTTGTGACCACAATTTGGGGTACTGAAAGAGACCTTAGAGAAACTGGAAGTGGGGCAGCATGAGTAGAAAAGAAATCTCAGGGGAGGGTCAGTGGGGTCACATTCATTGATTAAAACAATCTATAGAATGGAAATCTAAAATGTGTCCTCGGCATTTCTCAAACTTAATGAATACCACACTCTGTTTTTTCTTTTTTTTTTTTTTTTTTTTTTTTTTGGTACCGCAGATTGAACCCAGGGATGCTTAACTGTTGATCCAGATCCCCAACCTTTTTTTTAATATTTTATTTAGAGACAGGATCTCACTGAGTTGCTGAGGCTGGCTTTGAACTCAGGATCCTCCTGGCTTAGCAACTCAAGCCCCTGGGATTAAGGTGTGCACCACCACACCAAGCAAAGACTCCACTCATATGGAAGAACTGCCTAATAAGAGTTTTTAGGTGATTGAGTCCTAAGGAACATGGATGAGAAGCTTTGCTTTGTTATTTTTAATGGAAATAGAAAATATATAAGGGGAAGTGCATAGATAATAAGCATGTAGGCAGATGAATTCTTAGGGAAATGAGTAACCAATACCTAGATCTAGACAGAGAACACCACCAGCACCATGGATATCTCTAATTCCTTCAAGTTACTACTCCACTTTGAGAATAATTATTATTCAGATTTTTTTGCCTATTTTTGAGTCTTTTACATATGAATTACATAAAATCTTTTGCATGCCTGGCTACATTTGTTCAATGTTATATTTGTGAGATTTATCCATGTTTTTCATGGGGTTGTAGTTTCCATTTGCCTTTCAGTAACCAATTGCATTATTTATTTCTGTTTTTTTTTAACTATTATGACCAGGTGCTATTTATTGTAATCTCATTATGAGCTGTTTTCTTTTTAATTTTTTTTAAATTTTTAATTTTAATTTTTGATTTTTTTAAAAAATAAATGACAGTGGAATGCATTACAATTCTTATTACACTTATACAGCATAATTTTTCATATCTTTGGTTGTATATAAAGTATGTTGACACCAATTTGTGTCTTCATACATGTACTTTGGATAATGATGTCTATCACATTCCACCATCATTGCTAATCCCCTGCTCCCTCCCTTTCCCTCCCACCCCTCTGCCCTATCTAGAATTCATCTATTCCTCCCATGCTCCCCCTCCCTACCCCACTATGAGTCAGCCTCCTTATATCAGAGAAAATATTCGGCATTTGGTTTTTTGGAATTGGCTAACTTCACTTAGCATTATCTTCTCCAACTCCGTCTATTTATCTGCGAATGCCATGATTTTATTCTCTTTTATCGATGAGTAAAATTCCATTGTGTATAAATGCCACATTTTTATCCTTTCATCCACTGAAGGGCATCTAGGTTGGCTCCACAGTTTAGCTATTGTGAATTGAGCTGCTATGAACACCGATGTGGCTGCATAATGATAGTACACTGATTTTTAAGTCCTTTGGGTATAGATCGAGGAGTAGAATAGCTGGGTCAGATGGTGGTTCCATTCCAAATTTTCTAAGGAATCTCCATACTGCTTTCCAGATTGGTTGCATCAATTTGAAGTCCCACCAGCAATTTATGAGTGTGGCTTTTCCCCCACATCCTTGCCAACACTTATTGTTGTTTGTATTCTTGATAATTACCATTCTGAGTGGCTTGAGATTAAATCTTAGAGTAGTTTTGATTTGCATTTCTCTAATTACTAGACATGTTGGGCATTTTTTATCTATTTATTGATTGATCGTATATCTTGTTCTGAGAAGTATCTGTTCAGTGTCTTAGGCCATTTATTGATTGGGTTGTTCGTATTTTTGGTGTTAAGTTTTTTGATTTCTTCATATATCACGGAGATTAGTGCTCTGATGTGCTTGTGACAAAAATTAGCCCCCCCAAATATAGACTCTCTCTTCACCTCATTGATTGCTTCTTTTGTTGAGCAGAAGCTTTTTAGTTTGAACCCATTCCATTTATTAATTCTTGATTTTATTTCTTGTGCTTTAGGAGTCTTGTTATAGAAGTCAGAGGCTGATCTGACATGATGAACATTTGGGCCTACTTTTTCCCCTAATAGGCTCAGGGTCTCTGGTCTAATTCTTAGATCATTGATCCGCTTTGAGTTTTGTGCATGGTGAGAATTAGGGGTTTATTTTCATTTTGCTGCATATGGATTTCCAGTTCTCCCAGTACCATTTGTTGAAGAGGCTATCTTTTCTCCAATGTATGTTTTTAGCTCCTTGGTCTAGAGATACAGGAGATATCTTATATATGAGATATCTTATCTATATCGTATCTATGGGATTTCCTATCTATGGGATAACTCTATTTATGTGGGCTTGTCTCTGTGTCTTCTATTCTATACCATTGGTCTACATGCCTATTTTGGTGCCAATACCATGCTGATTTGTTACTATAGCTTTGTAGTTTTAAGGTGTAGTATTGTGATGCCTCCTGCTTCACTCTTCTTACTAAGGATTACTTTGGCTATTCTGGGTCTCTTATTTTTCCAAATGAATTTCATGATTGCTTTTTCTATTCCATAAGGAATGATGCTGGGATTTTAATTGGAATCACATTGAATCTGTATAGCACTTTGGGTAGAATGACCATTTGACAATATTAATTTTGCCTATCGAAGAGTGCAAGAGATCTTTTTATATTCTAAGGACTTCTTCAATTTCTTTCTTTAGTGTTCTGTAGTTTTCTTTGTAGAGGTCTTTCACCTCTTTTGTTGACTCCCAAGTATTTTGTTTTGTTTTATTTTTTTGAGGCTATTGTGAATGGGGTAGTTTTCCTAATTTCTCTTTCACAGGATTCATTACTGATGTATAGAAAAGCATTTGATTTATGGATATTGATTTTATATTGTGCTACTTTGCTGAATTTATTTATTAATTCTAGAAGTTTTCTGATGGAGTTTTTTTTTTTATCCTGTTAGTATAGAATCATGTCATCAGCAAATGATAGTTTGAGTTCTTCTTTTTCTATTCATATCCTTTTAATTTCTTTCATCTGTCTAATTGCTGTGGCTAGAGTTTCAAGTATTAGTTGAATAGAAATGCTGAAGGAGGGAATCCCTGCCTTGTTCTATTTTTTAGAGGGAATGCTTCCAATTTTTCTCCATTTAGAATGATGTTGACCTTGGGTTTAACATAGATAGCTTTTACAAAGTTGAAGTATGTTCCTACTATTCCTAGTTTTTCTAGTATTTTGAACATGAAGGGGTGGTGTATTTTGTCAAATGCTTTCTCTGAATCAATTGATATAATCATATGATTCTTTAAGTCTATTGATGTGATGAATTATATTTATTGATTTTCAAATGTTGAACTAACCTTGCATCCCTGGAATGAACCTACTCAATCTGGTGCACTATATTATTATGTTTTTGTATGTGATTTGCCAGAATTTTATTGATAATTTTTA